TTAATTTTATTTATTTTATTTATTTTAAAAAAGTTTTTTAAAATAAATCTCTCTAATTTTGACGATTTTCGAATAAAAGTAAATAAATTCGAATAAAATTAAGTTACACAGTTGAATACTTCACTCCCTAAAAATGTATGTACACGATATAAAAGAGCCCGTTATTTTAGTTTAGATTACAACATATTAAAAACTCATTAAAATCGAAAAGAATATTTCCCCATATTTCTTTGTTAAATGAATCTGCTAATTACATAACCTTCCACTAAACCTTCACTCAAGTAACTCTTATTGATCAATATTTCGGTTTCGTGCGATTTATCTCACGACTTACATTGATCATTACTCATGTCTATCGAAGTCGATGAAAAAATCACAATACAAATTTTTATCTACGAATTTACGAGAGATTATTATTAATTATTTGTAAATTATTAATTATTTGATTCGACTGAATAACATTTAATTCGAAAATAATTACTTTTGGCACGTAATCGCCGAAGCCGATAGTGCTCATGGAAATGAAGACAAAGTAGAAGCTCTCGAAGAAATTCCAAGATTCCCACAAGGAATATAAAGTAGCTCCTATGAAGATATAAGCCAGGAGAATGACGATTGCCACCGAAATCGGTAGATTAAACTCGTCATCGACGATATATGCTGATAATGCCGGCGTACCCGGTGTACCCGGCGTATTGGCGTCCACATTCAAAACTGTCTGTGGCTGCTGGATCTGCTGCTTCTGCATCTCGTCGATTTCTTCTGGAATCATTTGCGAGGGCCGTCGTAACTTTGCGAGATCGTAAACGAGTTGCATGCCCTTCATGACTTCCTACGATTAACACAATGGACAAGATGAAATTATTAAAAATCAAATAGAGTAAAACACAATAAACAAAGATGCATATCTCATGCTGCCTAAAAATCTAAACCTGAACAGAGATAAAGATAAGGAAAAACTTAAAATACAGTGTAACGGCAAAGAGAATAAAACTAAAACTTAAAGGCTCTATTAAAGCCAATCGTTTGACACGATTGGCTTTGATAGAGATACACAAGCTTTAAATAAAACAAAATAATAATAATAAATTAATTAACTAATAAAATAATCAATAAATAAATTTAAAAATGCAAACTAAATTAAAAATTAAATATAAATAATATAAATTAACTAATTTTAAGTAATAAAAGAAAAATGCTGAAAAACAAAAAAAAACAAATAAATAATTACACATTACCAAAAATAAAAATAAAGTAATAAATAATTATGTAATTATTAAACATAATTTAATTTTGTTTAAATAATTCTTGCACATCTTCTTTTTCTCTTGTTATTCTTTACAATTTTTTTTTACAGACATTAACTTTTACTTATATGAAATTATTAATCGATGAATGGAACTAATTAAGCAATCGAAGATAAAAAATAATGCAACAAAAAAATATATAAAAGACGTACTAAAAATGTACGATATTATAAATCAATATTATAAATAAGTAAATTGTGGAAAATTCTAGGAAGTTGGCTTAATTCTTTTTTTTTAATTGATAATCTTTTTCTCGGATGTTTTCTTACAATTAAATCATTTTACCTGGACAGGCACAGTGCGACGGACTTTGCGACAGCTACCAGTGTAATATAGTCTTCTCACAAATGCCCATAGGAATTTTATACCGCGTGTGAATAATTTACCAAAGTCGGCCAAAATGATGAGAAACATTGGGATGCCAAAAATTGCATACACAATCGTGATGGCTCTTCCTGTGTCTGTACTTGGCGAAATATGCCCATATCCTGCAATGAAAAATCATCAACTATAGTATCATCATCAGCTGTAGTACTGTATTGATATGGTTTATTATAGATTGATTGATTTAGGCCATATTGAAATTTATGTTTAGCTATGCTTTAGCTCGTATTTTTATTTATATTAGGTGTAGTAAAA